CAGGAATGGAAACATCCAGTCTCAGTGGCCACTGGAGTGACCCTGCACAGTGGTCTTCCTGTCTTTTCTCATCATCTTCTCTTTTCTCCTCCCTCCTTTCTTCTCCCATAAGAAAGCTGAAGCTGGCACTGTTCACTTCTAGTGAATTCTCAACAGTTATTTGGAGACAGATTAATAAGCTGCCTTGTGACCTTCCTCTGTCCTCTCCCACTGCCCTCTGGCCATTTCACCGTTCCTGTGTGTCCAATTAAGAGGGTGGACAGAAAGAATGAAAGGGTATGACCTTAGGGTGAGAAGATTCTGCTTGTCATTAGAGGTCCTGTTAAAAGATTTGGTGGAAAGACAAGTTATTATAGTACTGTGTGTATCAGCTATGAGGTTTGAAGTATTTCATTTGTTTATGATTTCTTCACCATCACCCATGAACACGAGCATCTGAAATACACTTGAACTATTTCAACCAGTTGACCAATAAGAAATCTGTCTCTTTGGAAGTGCCTACACATTTTCAAATAAGTATACTATTATTTTCTTTAAAAGTATTAATAAGATGTAATTTATCTGCTATTTTCTATTTTGGAATTCTTTCTTCCATTTTGGCTGCTTCCTCGCTATTCATCCTCCCAAATCTCATGCACTTTATCCAGCACCTGTTCCCGTAGCAACTTGGTCACGCTGGCTATGTTTTCAGAAGGGTATCTGGACTATGAAAATCATGAGATCTTAAAAAAAGAATTATCTAATGGTTTCAGGTACTATCTATGACCTGAGAGAAAAGACAGGAATTCTCCACAACACAAGCCATGTAACTTGCTTTCTTTTGAGACCATCTTTCAACATCCTTTGATGCTTATCATAACTGTTCTATTTATTAGGAGGCAAGTGTTTAAGGTCAAGTATACTATCCAATGAAAAAGTTCATGTCATTCATTTAAGAAAAGTTTATTGAATTACCCCTAATATATGTTTAACTATAATAAAAAAATAAAGTATAAAAATACAAAGTGCTGGGGAGGTTTAGAGATGGGAGAATACTTAGAGTTGAAGCAGCTTCCGTTATTATTTAATTTGCCTAGTCCTCAGCAATGCTTCCCACCATCAACTCCTGTGCAATCAGTTCTTCAGATCTCAGCCCTATCCCTCTATCCACCACATGTGGCCAAGGACAATGAAACCAAGAATAATTGCAGCTGAATTTATAGAATAAATGTGCAATCTCAGCTTTGATATGCAGCAAGTATGGACTCTGAGTAATAGTCAGAGTTTGCTCACAGAATCAATTACTGCAACTGTTACTTATGACATTATTTGCTAGTCTGGGAGCTTATTTAGCACAATCCATATGCCAGGGAAGTTGCAAGGCCACCTGTGTTGCTGCCTTACAGCACAGTACTGGCATTTCTCACATTCTCATCAATTGCTCTACTAAGCCTTTAACTTCATATTCCATCTCTTTTCTCTCCTATTCAGATCTAAGTAGAAACTTGTTTGGCAAAAAGGCAGATTATCATCAGTGACATTTGCATTTACCAAAAAGAGGGTAAGAACATTTTCAAAGGCAAGTAAATAAAAGCAAATGATTCCCTCCACTTCCTTTGCAAACTCTTCCTTCATGATTGGAGGGCTCTTGCTTTACTAGCTTTTTAACACTTTTGGAAATTAAGAAGAAGGAAAGAATCAGGTAAATGTATTGTCACAAAATCAAGGTCGGTGAATTCTCTGCATAGAAAGATGGACCATGTGATTATCTTTCTCTTGTGATGCCACAGTTGATGAAATCTCAAGCTGCAGAAAGCTTTCTTACCCAGATATATGGGCATACTGACAATGTTAGATTTCTGGGTTTTACACACATTGATCAGTTCTGTACTAAATCATTTATAAACATGAGAGCGAGACCAGTGATTTGGGAATACTCAATAGAAAGTTGTGACAAATTACATACGAAAATCCCCTTCATCTCTGTCACATGTTTCTTCCCATGTAGAAGAAGATCTATTTTTGGTAAACTAATGAAAACATAAAAGGCGTCCGACAGTTTCTGCAAAATGAGAATGAGCTAATATGATGCAAGGTGATTTTCATCAGGCTTTCTCCTGTTCTTCTCTGAATGCCTTGGTGGCCATCTCGGCTGGAAACACAGCAGCCTGCAGAAGACCCTACCCTGTGCTCCCCTCCTAAGAGGGTGGGATGCAGAATCTGACTGAAGCAATAAGATCCTATGGAAGTTTTACCGAGTAAGGGCAGGCTCATTTAAATGAGGGGCCAGCAAACTATGTACTATAGGCCAGATAGGGGTCCTTGCCTGTTTTTAATACAGTTTATTGGCACACATTCATGCCTATGCTCTGTTGATTCACACTACAGGAGCAGAGCTGAATAGTTGCTGAGTAGTTGCAACAGACCCCATATGGTCTAAACCAGTGGTCGCCAACCTTTCGGATCTCATGGACCACCAGTGGTCCATGGACCACTGTTTGGTGACTGCTGGTCTAAACTATATACTGTGTGGCATTCCTTCCCAACAGAGGAATCTTGTAAAAGTTTGTTGACCCCTAGTTTACATCATTCTTACTTAATAATTATATTATTTTTGGAGAGTTAAGTTAGAGAATACAGAGGAGGGCAAGAAATACCATTCACTGATGTTGAATATGTTAACTAAATGAGATTTAAAGGTAGAAGTAGATTACATATATACATATATTCATACTATTTCAATTTGCTATTAATTATGAAAATGTCAAAGGGAGTAACTAGCATTTTTTGAAAATCGACATTTTCTAGGGACCATGTTAGAAATTTTTCAAAAAGTAGGTCATATGTATTTCTTAGGTCTAGGAGGTTTAGACTTTCCTGGAGAAGGGAATCTTCTAAAATAAAAGCAAGCCCACAAACAGACACATCAAGTGCTCACATTTCTTGACCTTGGACCCTGGAGGGGGCAGTCTGCTCCTGTGTAGCCCTTTATTGCTCATTAGAGCCCAGAGACAAAAAGATGTAAACCTTAGTCTCCCAGTTTGAGATGCATTTTCCCTGCCGTGCAAGGTCAGAAACTAATGTCTTTAGAGGCAGTCACTGTAGTTCTCTTATATGTACTGTAAATGGAGAATAAAATGGAACAAGGCAGGAACATGCACAAGCTCATTCAGCAAATTAATGACAGCATCCATGGCACCTCTGAAGAGTTTGTGGTAATTACTTCTTATAAATGATGAATTAAAAAACATAAATTATTCCCTGGCTGGCATGTCTCAGTGGTTGAGTGTCTACTTATGAAATAGGAGGTCAGGGTTTGATTCCCAGTCAGGGCACATGCCCGGGTTTCAGGCTCGATCCCTGGTGTGGGGCATGCAGGAGACAACTGATAATGATTCTCTCATCATTGATGTTTCTATTTTTCTCTACCTCTCCATTTCTGAAATCAATAAAAATATATTAAAAATAATTCATAAACTTTTATAGCCAGGTGGATTGAACAAGGAGGGCCCTGCAGATCTTTTGAGTCCCTGCCCAACGTTATTTTAAACCCAAATCTGTTTTCTGAATTAGTTTTTCATTCTTGTTACCTTGCTGGTCAGAAAACAAAATTGCCATAGTGTTTATCAGGGGTGGGCAAACTTTTTGACTCGAGGGCCACAATGGGTTCTTAAACTGGACCGGAGGGCCGGAACAAAAGCATGGATGGAGTGTTTGTGTGAACTAATATAAATTCAAAGTAAACATCATTACATAAAAGGGTACGGTCTTTTTTTTTTTTAGTTTTATTCATTTCAAACGGGCCGGATCCGGCCCGCGGGTCGTAGTTTGCCCACGGCTGGTTTATCTTGTAAATGAGACATCTTATCCTGTTTCAGAGTTGCTGGGAAATATTCAAATTAATATTTTTTTCCAGTCCTCTGACTCACTTTTTTATTTTTTCACTTTCAATATATGTCCTTTCAAGAATGGATCTGTTCTTTTTGGACCTGCTGTCTCTGTAAATTCCATTTTCTCTTGCCGCCATGCCTCCTCCTGATTTTCCTTTGTGAGCCTGACTACTTTCTAGTGGGGTCCTTACTCTTGCATTCTGGATCCCTTTTGGAATAGGGAACAGCACTCTGTTCTTTGTTGGCAGACATCTACCTCACTTTCAGAGAAGAAAGAGTCAGGTAGCATGTCTGTGAAAGTAAAGAACAAAAAATGAAAATGACAGAGCAAGCCAAACAGTAGGAAACTAAGGCTTTGCCTCAAAAAAAAATAGTACCATAGAAAAGAGAACTAAAATGGTTCTGGCAAAACTACTTGTTCTCTTTTCTATTCATTCTGGAGCACGCAAGGTGGGTTCGGGAGAGAGGAGATATTATTTGTCAATGCCTGCCCCTGCTAGTTATCCATCAAGGGCAGCTAAAACCTGCCTGCCCATCACCAGTGCTCTGGTGGCATCATCCTGCTTTTTCTTACCTACTCTCAACTCAACAACACTGTTAGCTCAATAACAAGCAGTGTTGGTTTAAGCAGCAGATGCATTCACGGTGCCTGGGCAAACTTTTGCTTGTCTAATGCCCTCTGCCTACAAACCTGAGAGTTGCCATCCTCATACGTCCTTTTTTGTATGGAGGCACCTACCTCTGTAGGCTGAGCTTGTCTCCATTAAGGGTGAAGTAATGCTTAAGGTTACCTGTTGGTAGGGAGGAGGTTTGAGAAACTTGTTTCTTTATGTATCTCTGTCTCAAGACTGTGCTGTGTTCCCTCACGAGCACCAACGTGACATAGTCTAACCCTCCCATTTGTGTGGCTCAATTAGCAAGCCTGGGGATGGGAGCACAGCCAGAGTAGGGCTTTTTTATTATGTCCCCAAAGGCAGAGTGGGGTGGCACTTACTTAGCTGGACCTCACATGAAATATGGCCAGAGGAATCAAAGAACTCAGAGCCTGGTAAGCACAAGGGTACACCCAACCCACTTCATTCTTCAAAGCTCTTTGAGTAAAATACTCTTTCAGAAGTTGCCCCCAATTACCTGTTGATGCTGTTTTTCTGTGCTAACATCTGCCAGTCCTTGCCTTTGGCATTGGGGGTGTCAAATGTAGCACAGATCCGCTGTCTGATGGAGTAGGGGATTTTGAAGGCTCTGGGGCCAGTCTGTGCAGGGAAAGTGCTGTCCTCTTGTGCAAAGAAAGTGATGGTTTCTCTTTCACTCTGAAACCAGACAAGGAAGGCATGATTAGATCCAAGTAGAAGCATACCTGGTCAACACTTCTATTTTTTAAGAAAATCTGTGTTAACACATACACAAAATGCTTGCCTATTGTGATGAACTCTAAAATAGACTGACAGGTTCCCCTCTCTACTAAAGTAGTAAATAACTCCTCAGTAGCCTAGTGAATCATATGCTGGAGATTTATAACAGCCTCTCCCACTCAGGAGAGTCACAATGATCAGCTTCCTGACGATATATCAGGTGAGAGCAGAATCAGACTTTTATGGTTTTTTGTTTGTTTTGTTTTGGGGGAGAGATCTAGAATCACTAGGATGAAACTACCAAATGGCAGATTTCAGTTCAGCACAAGGAATGACGATCTGAGAGTCAGGACTGACCAAAGATGATGGCTGGAAAGCCACTTGTCAAAAAAGCTACAAAGGGAAACTGATTATATGTTGATCATCTCAAAGTTTATGTTTTCCCCATTTCTAACGTTGTGTGATTCTATAGAAAAAAATTGTGGTCTTGTTTTAGAATTAAATTGCTTTGGTAGAATATGATCCAGCCATGAGTCAGTGATGAAACCTTGACTAGTCTGTGGAGTGGTACAGGCTGGAAGGCTCTGCCTGCTATCTGCACCTGCCCTTGCTTCTGATTTAGAGTTGTTCAGTGAAGATTTGTTATTTCAGTACATCATAGCAATTGGGTCATCATATCCAACATGAAATCACACAGAAATGGGCCACATTGGAGTGGATGCTGATAACTTTATGTAGACTAACAGGATTTTAAGGCCTGAAAAGTATTTGATTGTATAACTCCCATGATTATTATGTTACAAGACATATTTCCTGACTTAAGACAGGACAATGTGCTTAGAAAATATGGTAGAAACTAGGGCTAGAGGAAGAAAAGGAATTCTATGCCAGAAAACATGGTAGTTATTATAAAAGAGTACCCAAATGTATTAACACATGAAACGGTGGCTTGCCAATGAAGCTGAAAACATTGAAAGTATCCATGCCATAGGAGTGCAGTAGACAGAGAAATGGCTTCTGGAAGCCCTCCTGGTATCTAGGAATTGACCAAGTCACCAAGCTCTATCTTCACTGTTGGTAGAAGAAAGACCACCTTGATATTTAAAGTCTTCAGAAAAAATGAATAGAGTGGTATAGTTTGAAGGTGAATGAAATATTATGAGATTAACTCTAAAAAGAAGTATTTTTCTATTTACTAACACTTTACTAAGTGTGCCCCATTTCTCTTATAAATTTTCCAAATTTAAATATTTTCCATGCATAAGGATGACACTTTATGTAACATTTATGATGCATTCTAAAAGACATCTGGGCCAAGTAATAAGAATCCTGTAGATACACCACATTTTTTGATTGTTTAAATTAAATATTCAGAGGAACAGTAGATTTTCATGCTCTGCACATCTGAGATAAGCAGCTGCTACCTGGTTAGCTTGGGAGTTGTAAATCAATGAGAAATACCAAGTATTCTGTCTTTTTGTAACAGACAAATCATCCCCAACTTCCACACTTCTGGAAGAAAGGTAAGAAAAATTGCTTTAAGTAAGGGAAAATTATAACATGTAAGATTCTCAATTAAAGTTGTTTCTACCAAAAATAGATTTTTCAATAATATGATATTAATAAGGAATGATGAAATAAGTTACTTGATGATTCTTCCCTTCTCTTCCATATTAGTATAATTTTTAGATCAGTGATACTGTTGCTTTATAGAGTGTAAATTGGTGGTAATTGTTAGTTAATTCAGTTGGGTTAAATTTAAGAAGAACCAACCTGTTTGTAAAGATTGACACAATAATAGCTACTCTAAAGAACAAAAAGATATATTACCTTGATTACTGAAATAATTTTTAAGTGTGAGAGGATATGAATGATTGTATTTATCTTGTAGATAAGAGGCATGGAGGAATATGATTGATGTGAGGCTGAACATAAAGAACCAAATACTTTTAATGAGAATAATAACTGCATTTAGATATTTAAAATCAATATTATTTTATATACATAATTATATATGTGTGTGTATGCTTCTTTACCTCTCATGGTTCCATTGTTAAATTCATGAAATAGCAACACTAAGATAATCCATTAAAGTAAGGTAGGAATTGGGAGCCCTAAGCCTAAATATACAGGGACATCGGGAGGAAGGGAAATATTAAAAATGTATTTCAAAGAAATCTTTAAAAATCTTCAAAAGTTGTAGTTCCTTATTATTATAATTTTATTAATCAATACAACCCTATTACTAACTTATTAAAAACCTAGTGGCCATGAAATATAATGCAATTTAATAATTTCTCTATTATTCCTGATTCACTAATTGATACAGGTCTGGTCTGGAATTTATTTTGCTTCCTCCCCATCTAATCTCAATTTTTCAGCAGTTTATGTATCTTCACTTTTCCTTGAACCATCTACCACAAAAAACAAGATATTTTTAAGGAGAAAAGGATGGTTTTTATTCATCAAATATATCACCAGATGTATGCTTTTCCAAGTAGTGAGACAGTCCTAAGTTTGGAAGGACCTTGAGTGATCATTCAATCAAGACAGCTCTTGGCAGAAATATATGTAAGAAATATATTCCATTCTTCTAGATCTATAGAATAAATACTTACTCTAGCCCATATCATTAATAGTTACATCTCATCCTTCTACAATATTAAGGAAAGAACATCCCAATGTTCATATATTTTTATACTCAAAGACAAATTGCTGGTGCTGTGATGTTTGTCACTAGTTCCTAAGCCCCCAAAGAGGAGGCTTTTATTATGGACAAGGCCCATAGTTAGGACTGATAAATTAGGCCTCCTTGACTGAAATCCTGAAGTAGCATGGTATGGAAATCCACCCAGTTTTTGGTCTTGAAGTCAGATAGCTCAGTAGGTGACTCTGGTTATTCTATGACCTTGAGCAAGAAGTTTGACCTCTTTGAGACTGTGATAGCATGTATGATTGTTATAGTATAACTAGAGGCCCGGTGCATGAAAATTCATGCACTGGAGGGGGTTTTCTCAGCCCGGCCTGCCCCCTCTCACAGTCCGGGAGCCCTCGGGGGCAGAAGGTGACCTGGCCATCAGGGGAAGGTGACGCCACATCACACCTCTGCTGCTTCCACTGCCAGCAGCGCAAGCCTCGGCTGGCCCTGGTTACCCGAGCCTCAGGCAGCCCTTGGCGGCTGGGCAGCTGCCATCCAAGGCTTGCCTGTGCTTTGGGTTGACCCTGGGTGGCTGGGGGGCTGAGGGGACTGGGGTACTCTGGAGGCAGGTGCCCCGGCGGGGCTGAGGGGACTGGGTGCCACCATCTTGTGGCTGTGGACATCGTCATCTTTGAGGGTGGGGCAGTCAATTAGCATATTCCCTCCTTATTGGCTGTGGGCGCCACCATATTTTGAGGGCGGGGCAGTCAGTTAGCATATTCCCTCTTTATTAGATAGGATAGTAATCCATGGAGTTGTAAAGGTTGTATGTGAAAGCACATAAAATGGTTCTTGAAATATAGTGGCTTTCCAGAAAGTTATCAATTTTCTTCTGACATAAGAAATTATAACAAACTAAATTTGCCTAAGAATTACAGTTTATTCCAAAGAGATGGAGATATACTGGGCCAAGTTCCAGCAGGAACAAAAAACTTGAAGCAATTAATAAAACGATCCTTACAGGATCAAAAGGGTTCATAAAGCTTCTAAAATGCAGTAGCTTACAAATTGGATGACTGTCGTCAACATTGAATATCTAAGTATTATTCTCGTACTTGCCTTCTTTTATCAAGAGATACTATGATATTACTTCTTCGAGGCATTTCAAAGTGATTGTAAACTTCATGAAGCATTAAAAAAACGACTGGAGAGTAAAGGATAAGATTATGTTTATTAGCTCATTTTCCTTTCATGCACTTCAAGAATTTATTTAAGCAAGGAGCAAAGGTACCAGGATGTATCAACTCTATCACATTCCTTTTACATAAATATCCTATAATAACAGAATTTGATCTGTAATATTTGAGTGCCTTAAACATTAAAAATCTTTTAAACTTAAAATTCTTCTGTTGGCCTATTAACATACTTAAGGCAATTTGTTTCAGAGGCATCTTTATGTTCTGCCTATTCCTTCATGCTCCTGAATACCTAAAGGAAAACCTAGGTTTTTCTTTTGGTTTTTATTTTAAAACTTTCCTCTGTTTTTTTATTTTACTTTGAAATGTTTGTGTTAAATATGCCATGGCTGTTCAAAAAAGATACTCTAAAAATATCCCACCTAGGTTTCTGGATATACCTTCCCTATCAAAACTACTTTAGCACATAATGCTAATTGGCCATAATGAATGCAAATACTGTATAAACATGTCAGTTAAGACAGCTATCAATTTTGAGGCACAGTCCTTTGGAAAGTCATCTGCTCTTCAGAAAAACTATTTGGGGAATTAGCAATACTCATTTTGCATGAACAATGAATTGACATGAGAATGGAGGGAAGTGATAATGCTATAAGGCTACAAGTTTTCAAAGAAAAAAAAACCACCTCTGAAACTGAATTGTATGTATACAAAATGTGTTAAACCTTCTGCCAAGTTGAAATGAATAAGCATATATTATTTATATCTTTACACATAAATATATATGTATGTATGTATGTGTATGTACACACACATATACATACCTACACACACATTCTTCAGGTGAACAATAAAATGTATGTGCTTGTCTAAACTAGCCAGGGATTACTTTAGAATTGCTAAAAAGAAGCATCACATGCCTCTCCTAATTCTACCCCTCAGCTACTCTCTCCCTCTACTTTCAAGTAACCAATGGGAGGGAATGCCTGTCACAATTATGGCAGATATCAGGTATCTTTTCACAAAAAGTTCCCACTGTGAATTCTCCTTTGACTCCCATTCTAATTCTGCCCTTCAGTAGTGATATGACATTGGACAAGGTCCTTTCCATCTTTGCACTTCCATTTCTTTACTTTGTAGAATGAGATTGATACCTATTTTATCTTGTATTATTGTATTGATGAGTCTAGGTTTAATGGAAATGGAGATGCATAGAACCTTGAACCTGGAGGGTCTGAGAAACTGTAAGACAATAAGGAGCCAAGACCCTGAAGATGAAATGACAGCTATGGGGCTACTGACTTCTGGAAAACTAGTCAGAAGCAAAATAAAACTGCACAGTGGTAACCTTGTGCCTCCTGCTGGCACGTGTGTGTCTCAGTTGTAGAGACCTAATGCATTTTAGATGATGTTCCAAACCTACCATGGACTGTTGTTAGACTGCTTGTGGTTTTGTGTATAAAAAGCTCTGTATCTTCCCCAAAGGTCCCTTCACAGGGCCTAAGTTCTGATGGGTTGTTTCCCTGACCAGTGGGAAGCTCAGTTTAATTCAAAGCCTGAGAAAAAGTATATTTTCCCTCATCAGTAATAAAGATTAAAAGAGCTGACGAATGCCAGTGAGAGTGAGATGGTGATAATCAGTTTTCAAAAGGTAGAGTTGCCAACGTAAAGGCCAAATGACTTGTCCAATCAGTAAAAGGATTAAAAGAGTTAGTGCTACCTGTAGAGCATGACTGTGATAGGTATATTTTTCTTATTGTCCTTTAGAAATGAGGTCAGGAGGCCTGTAGACCTAGCTCTCACCTCTAGGATTGATGTCTGCACTTGGAGGATCTGTTCATGGCCTTTGAGCTGCCGGATGCAGATTTTGCAGGACAGCTGGGTGGTGGTGGGCGTGTAGCGCTCCAGGGAGAAGGCACAGTGCAGGGGCTGCCGGTTGCTGCACCACACGCGGGAGAATGGGACTTCCTGCAGAGAGACAGGGAGAGAAGAGGGCTATGGTGTGCAGAACCTGGCTCAGATGAGACTTAATAGCAATAATTATGGTGATGATGACGATGATTGGAACAGAGATAATTGTCTGAGTGACTTTGGCGGAATTGTTGTAGGAATAATGTTCCAGCATATGCCAAGCAGCACAAAGGTAATTAATGTCAATTCCAATTGATAACATTTAAATTCCTCAAGCACACTGCAAGAGCTCAGATTTCACTTGGTGACACAATTAGAAAGAATGCATTAAACACACCTCAGAATGCTTTTCCACTTAAAGGTTCTTAGAACACTCCTATGGTCCATTTTCCTACCCAAGCCTGGGGAAGGATGATATCTTTTCTCACTGAAATGAAAATTATGCTACAGAACTGATTGCCCAGAACCTGTCCCCATACCACAAACTCATGCTGAATTGTGTAGACAGAATACAACATTGTTAACGTATCCAGCATAAAAATTATACCTACTGCAAAATCACATACATACATGCACATCCCAGAGAGAGACACAAACACAGTGGGCCGCCCCACAGCAGTCTAGTTTGCCAACTCTTCATTCAGTTCATCCATCCCACAATTCTGTGTATGGTGCCAGCTAATGAGCAGACACTTACTAGATAAACAATAAGAAATTAGGTTTGGTCCCCACTCTTAAGAGATTATAGACAGTTGAGTGGCAAAAACAATTGTTACTATATGAGGAGGGAGATTATAAAATCTATATAGGTCACCCTTTACCCCATTACCACTTAGAGCCTGGCACCGAATGGAGTGTGCTCAGGCATGTGACTTTATGATAATGTGAAGTAGAGGTCAGTCGATATTCAGAGGTCAGAATATAAGAAACTGATGTACTTTCATCTACTAAAAAGTCTCTCATGCCTACTTATACTGGGCTGGGTCCTGATCATGTATGTCCAGCCTCTAGTACTGTTCATCCTCAATTTTCCCTCTTTCTCTGCTCTCACTAATTTGCACTTTTAGGTGTTGTCATAAATGTAGTTTTCTATAATACTAACATTGAAAGGTGGTCTGGAAGTTAGATATTCTGAAGGTTGACTGGTAGTGAAGCCAGCATGTGTTATAAGACCAGGGGCCATGATTAAAATTCAGTCTACTCCCTTTGAGGAACTATGAGTTATCTAGTTATTCCTGAGCTCTACTGTACACACTTGTTTGTTTCCTAATTTTCACTGTAGTAGTCTCACAGATCCTGATTTTGGATACTTCTTGGGGGGGGGGGGGGGTAGGAAGGGGGTACTTTAAATAGTTACACAAATGAAGAGAGGAGAGTCAGCTTCAGGGAGTATGAGAGAAATACTCACGCATGAACCTCACATCCCAGCAAGAAATAGAAGTGTACTTTAAATAGTTACACAAATGAAGAGAGGAGAGTCAGCTTCAGGGAGTATGAGAGAAATACTCACGCATGAACCTCACATCCCAGCAAGAAATAGAAGGGCTTTGTGTTTTGGTTTTATTTGTTTGCTCTTGATCTTGAATCAAGAAAAAGGCAGTGGACCTTTGTCTCAGGAAGTAGAAACAAAGGTTCAGAGGTCTATGCGCGTGACACTGTGTGGTGTTTGTTGTTGTTTTTGGTGTGTGTGTGTGTGTGTTTCATTGACTTCAATCTTGTGCAAGATGTGGGCTGTTACGATGCAACACCATCTTTGCCATCCTCAGTTCTCCCCTGCATGGCAGGGGCTGGAAGCCTGGAAAATACATTTCACAGAACCCTAACCAGCATGGGGTTCACATTTCCATTCTGCCAATGAGAGGCACTTGTGCTAGACTGGGCAGTAGAGGAGGAGCTGAAGCCATCACTGCCCCTCTAACATCAGCAAAAGCCAGAAGGCGTCAGCTGTTAGCACACGTGAGGTTTTCAGGGGCTTCTGAATGTTCCCCTGAGAACCATCTGGTTTAGTGCTATTTTCCTGAAATTCCTGAATTTGCTGACTTCCTAATATCATCAGTGGCTTTCTCTGACTCTACCAGGCTTTCTAAAGGTTCTGTAAGGTCAAACTCCCTCAGTTAAATTTCTCATTGTTTGAAATAGCTTGAGTGGTTGTTGTTTTCTTGACCAAAATAATTCTCTAAGTAAAGTTCAGTAGATCTGAAGAAGTTCTATTAAAAACTGATATAAGTTGGACAACACTGAAAGGTGCCATGAGTGGGTTCCACGAGTGTCCTCTTCTAGGGGAAATGCTGGGAGAAGCACAAAGCTAATGGTCACAAAAGGAGCTCTTGGCTAGGCCACAACTTGCTTATACCAGCAGGCCAGCACAGGTCCATTTAACGGCCCCTCTTTCTCACTTTCTTCCTCTACAGAGGTTTTTACTTATGATCTCACCTTGGTAGCCATGGCAGCAGAGGGCACTTCTGATTGGTGCACCTCCCAGCAACCTTTAGGGGAAGTAACTTTCCCTAAAATGATAAAAAATGACTTTGAACTGCATAACATCCTACCCCAATTAAAACAGTATGTTTGCAAGTTCTGCCATTTCCTCTTGTTATCCATTCCAACTTTTTGTTCTTCTCTTTCTGAGCCTTCATCTGTTTTGTAAAACACGGGTAACTCTTATTTCACATTTCAGCCTCCAACACTTCCCTCTCTGCCTATTTCAAGGTCCCAACTGCTCTTCAAGGTCCCAACTGCTCATATATGCCCAATTGCCATCTCTCCGTGGAGGACTCCAATAGTGACCTCCCTGGTATTTATTTCACTATCATCCATCACTGGCATTATACGGCTAATCATTACAAATCTTTGTATTTAGCCTTCACTTTGCCAACTCTACCTTTTGAAAACTGATTATCACCATATCACTCTCACTGGCATTCTACAATTTTCCTATTTCCATTAATGATCCCCATTTCTCACCTTATTATAGCTAACTGTAGTAACCTACTTCACCATCTTCCTGCCTTTAGTCTCCACTATACAGAGCTAGTGAGGGGATGAGCTTCACTGAAAAGGACAACAGAAGCAGTTGAGTGGTGTTCCTCAGGAAATAGGATTGTGGTCTCTCTTCTGCCTCTAATCATGAGTGGGGGCCCTGATGTGACCAGATCACCTCCCATTACAAAATCCCTCTGCTGGGACGGGGGTGCGGGGGGGAGAGCAGAATGGCCCCCTGATGCCTACCATACTAAACCCAGTCCTGGGTCTAGCCTGCCTGGCCCTCAAGGGCTTCCCTCATCTGTTGCCCTATTCTAAATAGCCCTCTAATGAGCTCTCTTTTTCAAACCATTAAATGTTTATAGAGTTACTTTGCACCATCCCCTTCAAAGAAAGGAACTATAACATAGGGCTCTATGGTTAAGAGGCAGTTTTTCTTAACTAAGGTGGTTTTGCCTAACTAAGGTAGCTAAGGAAGTTTTTGTTTCTAAAACTGCAATTTAAGTCATTACAGTGTAATATAAGCTCTTGGATTGCAGGGCCAGATAGAGCTGAATTCAAGGTCCAGCTCTTAAACGAACGTACATTTTTTTTGTAGTGGATGTGAATCCTTGGTAAAGCTACCCACCCC